GCTCTTATCCTGAGAAAACGATGAGCAGCCTTAATTATAAAAGGATCTTAGGTACCTGGCAAACTGAGCATCTCCTAGGAAGTAGAACTAAAATCTAAAATGTAATTGAGATGATGCTTTTTTTATGTGTTTGTTTTCAAAAAAATGAAATCTGGAAGTGCAATTTTGTAATTACTGTATGTGGTCTTGAGAACACTAAAGTGAACATAAGAAATTTTACTACTGCCTGAAAGCATCACACCTCTGTGGCTGGTAAGGACTATGCAAAGCTGATAGAGGATTCACAAATGTTACATGGCATTTCAAAAGCAGCATGTTTCTTAGTCTCTTATCAGAGAGAATTTTTCTCTTGATGATTATAGTATGTGTATGTGGATTTATGACCAACAGAAGATACATTTTTGCCTTTTGGAATACCTGATATTTCATCCATGGCGTTACTTTTCCTCTGTAAGGGGAGCAAAGCACATCAAAGTACAGTATCAAAAAACACCGGCTGAGTCTGATCCCCATGTGGGCTTCTCTGAAAGTTGGTTCAAGTTTTTTAATTTTATTCTGAGCAGATTTACTCCTCTCCTGCGTGTTCCACCGCAGGTCTGATATTGTATAGCTCAGATAAAAATATGAAGCATGCTGCTTTTTTCTGCTACTATATTTGCCTATATCTTGGCTTTAGGGGTGGATTAGTTGCTTAGTTGTGCTGGAGGGCCCTTGGTGAGTAGTGGTGTAGCTGTTGCTGTTAGGGGAGGGATTGGTTCATGCTGTGTGGCTGTGGACACTTAACTTTGTGTTCTGGGTCTTCTCCCAGAGCTACCTACCTCTCTCTCAAGACTTAAATTATGGACTTGCTTCCTACTTGGGAGTTCTGAATTATAACTATGTTAAATACTTAAAATGTCATAAAACAAACAAAGTAAATATCCCGCCTGGATCAGATTCTAATAAAAAAAGGCAATAAACATTTAAAAGGAAAGAAGGAAATAGGTAAAATAAGAAACAGAATGTGCTATTTTTGCGAGTGCAATATTCACGCTCACCAGTGTACATAGTTGAGATGGCTCAGGTTTGGTTCTAAGAGTTGTTCCCTCTGATGAATAGTAACTGGAAAGTTTTCTTAGGGGACATATAAAGGCTTTATTTCCCCCCCACCTCCTTCAGCATGAGGGGTATGTGTTTCCTTGCCTTGGTAGGGTGCAAAGAAAATTTCGGTTCCTATTTTCCCCAGTCGTCAGCAGGGCAGTAGTGTATGTAACCAAACGTATTCCTAAACACATTTTGTTCTTTGATGGAATACTCAGATTTTGGTAGCAAGTTTTCAAAATACTGTACTTGATCCTCTTTCCCTCTGACTGCAGAAGATCCCTTTGAACCGTGGTCCTTGCTGTGGTTAGTGGCTGTGGCCTTGCAAACGGATTTTCCATGTCCAGTTTGGAAGTTTCCTCATTTAGCCTCAGAAATGTCACAGGGTGTGTGGTGAACTCAGCAGCAGAAGATGTTTCTGGTGCAGTCACTTTTCATGTCCTCACAACTGGAAGAAATAGAGCTGGGGCACTTTTTCCACTCAGCAAACTCAGAAAGTAACCACTACAGGAGATAAAGGGAGGAGATAAAAGTGTCTGTGGCAGCAGTTTCTTAATCACCAAGTCAAGCTGTATAATTAGTACTCCGATAAAAATTAATATATTCCCAAATATTTAAAACATTATTTGGTTTTAATGCTCTGGGTTATGCTAAGCATGTTCAAGTTGCTTTTAATTTGTTCTGAAGAGTAAGTAGTTAATGTTCAAGGCAGGTGTTGAAACAGTGATGCTTGCCTTTTTTGGAAGGGTCTGTTGAATTCTTTCCAAAAAAAATAACGTGTTTGGCTCACTTAACCTTGCCTTAGGTCTGTGTAGTAAAAATCCCAACATTGGCAGGCACAGCAGAACGCTGCAGTCCTTTCTGAAACCTGGTTAGCGGAACCAGCATTTCAAACAGACTTTAGTATGTGATTAAAAAAATAAATTATGATAAGCTTCATGTTTATTTAAAGATGTTTACTATGTGATCACTTAGTGAGGATGCTTATGCCAGACTTCTTAGTTGCTCTGCTTTCTGTCTGTCAGTTCCTCCCTCACAGGACTTGGTAACTTTGGTAGGATCTGTCCCTCAGGAAGACATTTGTCATGCTGCAGGATGATGAAAAAGGTTTTCAAGTTTTAATTAGTAATAAATGCAAACCCAAGTGTTTTCTGAGGAGGAAAGCTGTTTTGTTAGCAAACATTTAACTATCTCAAATGAAAAATACAGTGAAAATGCATTATTGCAAGGTAATGCATTTCTTTGGTCATTATTTAGAAGGAATAATATTTTCTCTTATGCTGTCCTCACATGTCTTAAAAGATACCCTAATGCTGCTTTACCCTTATGCTGACCATAAAAAATACCAGAAACATTGTGTAATTGAAAACTAACTACTATACTATATTGGATAAACTGTAGTATTTTTGAGGTAGTTAAGGAGGCTTGTTTCTGTGGGTGGAATGCCAACATCTATTCAATATTCCTCCAAATAATCACCAGTCAAGTCCTTAAATCCTGCAATTTTCATGCATGGGAGATTTTTCTAGTTAGGCTAAAGCTCTACAAAAATATCCCACATGTCTCTGATATAAAAGACAGCGTTGCTAAGAGGTGCTCTGTATGGGATTTGGTATGACCTGGCTTATGCTGTGTCAGTGTCATCCTCTGAGACTGTATGCTTTTAATTTACACAGAATTCAATGTGTTAGGAGCACTGTAGAGATGTCCCATAAAATCAATCCCGCAGCTTCTAAGTGGTGAAAGTACAGTGAATGCTATTTACTAAATACATTTTAGAGATAAATGTGTTGCTCTCTTTTCCTAGTATTGTAGTTTTGGGGGCAGTGGATGTACTCTAATAGTAGAATTTGCTGTCTTATTTGAGAATTATGAGAGTATTGAGAGAATGTGGTGTAGTCTGTGTTACACTGAGTAAAGACTTCTTTTTCATTTGAAGGAAGTGTTTTATGGTAGTCATATCAAAAACAACAAATAAGGAAGATTATTCAGAATCAAAACAGATTTTAGTTTAAACTTTGAAAATTATTGTGGCAAAAGGTTTCCTAAGTTGTTTTTTGTGACAGGTGTGGTCAAATTGAACTCTGAATTACCTGGGCTTTCTCTTAGAGGAGAATATGTGATATGTGCATAATAAATACTAGCTGGAAGCACAGGGAAGAACTTTGAAATTCTTTCCATATGCCAAAAGATGTAATTTATGTGTCTACTTTGACAAATATTTTTGTCGGTGCTAAACAAATTGGTACGTATCACCCTGAAATAGTGCTGGGAACAATAGCTCCAGGGGAGGTAATAGTTGGTTGCCGTTGGGTAATTTCTGTAATTGGAACCTGACCTCAGATAATTTCTGTAAAATAATTAGTTTTATAAAAGACTTAAGAGATACTTATGACCCTTACCTGTTGTAATGTGTAAATAGTACTCTGGGCAGAAATTGTTATGATGTATTTTTCCCTCTTCCAGTCATCAGTAGTTTTGGATAAAAAAAAAATACACTTTTGTTCCACCAAAGAATTCTGAGTTAATAGAAATATGGGAAAAGTGAATGGGGAGGAGAACAACAGAGTGACTCTGACTTCTTCCTGAGGTGCTCTGAGGACAACAGAAGAAAATATAATGGTACTTCTTTCATGAAACCTTGTCTGCTGCAGTGGTCTGGAAGTAGGGGCTGTGTGTTATATCTGAACAAGCTACAGGGCATACATCCAAAGTGATCTTCACTCATGCTTTCACACCTGAAAGCTTATTCATCTTGCTGTGCTTTCGCTCAAGTACATATTATTCTTGAATTTATGGTTTTAGATCTTAGTGAAAGTGTTCATTGAAGGACCAGTCTGGATAGAGCATGTAGGCCCCAGTCTGTCAGCACCTTGAAGGAAGAGACAGTCAAGTATATGGATGGGTGATGGCTCCTGAGGTTGGGCAGATGAAGGAATGCTGCTGTTTCACCATTTGCTGTAGGGACCTCTTGAGAGCTGACAAATGTCTTGGAAGTGTTGGGCCAGGCAAGTCAAAAGGTTGCTGTTGGGATGATGTTGCATTGTAGTAAATCTGGAATGATTTGTTTATCTCTCAAGACCATCACAAGTTGAAGCAGGTCCCAATCTGAAAGAGAGTCTGACCCTCTGCTGCCTTCTGTTCTTGAATGATGCTATTGCCGCTTCAGTGAAGTTGTGTTTGAAAGTCTTAGACTTTCCTGTAGAACCTGTTACACTTCTACTTACTGTTTTTCCATTTTGACTGTTTTAAATGACATTTTAACTTTAAATGACATTTAGTCGATCTCAGTTAATGTAACCTATTTTTAAGAATTTTTCTGAAGATGTATAACTCATCTGTGTTATGTATTAGACTAAAATATTTCCTTACTTCCTGTAAATAAAGCAACAGTAAACATTTTCCCTTTCTTTTAGCCTTTCTCTTTCCTTACCCTGTGTTTATGGGCTGACCTTTATGTGTCACTGATCTTGGACTCACGTTCTGTCTGATTTGGGAGTTACTTTAGTAGCTCCCAGTTTTATTGAGCTTCATATTCTTATCTGCCTTCATTTCCTCAGATCATCATCTTATTCTCTCCTGCTTAGTTTTCCTATTGTCTTCCAGCCCTCTCTTTGCCCCCCCAGTTTATCTCCCCTTGCAGCGCTGTGGTTCCACTTCTGCAACAGTATGATTTCAGAGAGTGGCTCAGAGCCCTCTGTTCGTCTGCCATGTGCACCCTACCCAGGCTCATGGGCCCTTCATTTTGCAAGAACAGCTCAGAAAAAGGAATCGTTATGCAGATGTTAAAACGTGTGACATTTAGGCAATAAGCCATAATCACCCTCCAGTTTGAGTGTGACAGATTACATTGCTTAAACTTGCTACTTGTCTGGGTGGTTAAATGTACTCCATTAAAAATATGTTTTTATTCCCATCAGGTGTCTTTAGGTTCCGTTGTTCAGTTTGAGAAGGGAAATTTCTCCTTGTCAGCAGAAACAGAAGAAAAGTTTTTTCCTGAGAGGAATGAACATCTGCTACAGTGGGCCCAGAAGGAATATGGAGCAGTAACATCTTTCACTGAACTTAAAATATCAAGAAACATCTATATTAAAGTAGGAGAAGGTAAACCAAAACAAAACCAACAAAATTGATAGATACTTCTGGATATTGTGTTGCCGTGGTATTATTTCACTGTTTTTTGTATTTTAATCTTTAAACATACCTCTCATTTTCCAAGAGATGTGATAAGAAAGGGGAAGGCAGAGAGATAAGAGCAAGTCTAAAGACAAGACCTTGGATTTAGGCAACTTTTAGTGGATTCTGATGCCATAATTTTATGCTCGTAACTGTGGATGCAATTGCTCAGAATCTTAAAAGAGTCAAAACTTTGCCTTTTAAATGGAATCAGCTACTCAGGGTGATTGGGTGCATTCATCTGAAGAACTGGAGACCTTGACATAGGGGGTAATTTCCAAAAATACCCGAGTTATGGGGTTTTTTTCAATATTTGCTTGTATAAGGATCCAGGCTACTTTGGGCAAAGAATTACTACTTTCCTCACCAAAATAAGTTGCCTCAGTCTATCCTTGTGTTTTCATCCCAAGGAGAAAGATTTCCTGTCCCTGTGAGCCACATGCCAGATTCGTCAGGTGGCCTAATGCAGGTGGGAGAGGACTCCAGCTCCTCAGGGACTTTACAGGCCCATATTAGGATAGGGTTCAGGCTGTACCTTGCAGCTGAGCAGTATTGGAAAATATAACAATATGAGCCTCTGCAGCAATATTTCTATAGAAAGTCCTGCATAGCTGAACTAGTTGGCTAAGAAAAAAAAAAAAAACAAAAACAAAACAGCCAAAAACCCTCTGTGGAGAAAACATTTTTTCCTAACCACCTGTATCTGATCATTTGATTTCCTGACATATGAGGCTTGCCCCCCAAATCAGAACATGCCTGTGTTGGTTTTTTCCAAATCCTGCCAAATTTGTAGAGGATTCCCCTGTGTGATTTTTTTTTTTTTTTTTTTTTTTTTGTTCTACTTGGCACCAGTCTTGGATTTTAATGCCAGAAAGTCATTCAGAAATATATTTATTAGCTTATTAAAGTGCTCTTGGAACATATACATGGGAGTGGTGGTCTCTGCGTTGCAGAGATGAATATTGAATTAGATATGTCAAAAAAAAACCAGATAAAATTTTATTTGTTGATTTTTGCATCCAGTCAAACCAGGCAGCTAAAGAGGAGAGTTTTGTATCATCTTTAGAATGTGTTAAAACACAATTTAATTAGGAGTAAGTACACAAAATGGAATTTGGCAGGCAACCAAAATAGACAGTTTCTGTGAAGGCTCCTACAAACTAGCTCAGCTGTAACCATATTGGCTTTTGATTTAAATTCTTGGCAGAAGAATGAAAGTGCATGTATGTGTGGGGGGTTATGCATGTGTTCAGGGGTGGGGAGAGGGTCAGTTCTTGAACTGCAGCAGTCATGCAAGGAGTTCTAAGGAAACCACGTGGGACATGGTCCTGCTCTGCTTCTCTGCAGACTGAACAATAGAATCACTGGATTTCACAAACCACAGCATACAGTGATGTACATTTTGGGCTTTTCGTGTAAAATTTATACTCCTCAAGCAATTTTAGTAAGGTACCTTTAGCTACCAGTCTGTGCATCACTGCTAGTATTACTCCTAATATATAGGTGGTCATATGAAGTAGTTCCTTGCTATGTGACTGATACAGAATTTAATTGCAGTATTCATATAATTGTCTACATTTCAGATTCACTCAAGGTAGACAAATCTGAAACTGGAAGATGTAACATTTTAGAAGTGGAGGCTGTAGCTGAATACAGTGAACAGAAAATGCAAACCAGAGGACTAAAAGATCTGAAGAAGGATGACTTTTTCATAGAATAAAGCTGCTTCTGATGCCATGGGTCTCTGAAGTCACTTTTGAAGCTGCAAATGAAAGGCAACTGAGAGCACTAGCAAACTGGGTCAGGGCCAAGTGCATCTGAATCCTGTTGATTCTAAAGAGTGGTCGATAAATACTGCAGGGATGGTGACCACAGCAAGAACTTTGAGGGGCCAGAATGGGGGTGTGGAGGAAGGGGGCACAAGAAGTGAGGTTCTTGTTGTTGCCTTGATTTGTGTAGTGAAGGAGATGACAAAGTGACTGCCATGGTAATCACTGTCAGATTCTAGAAAGGAGGACTGTTCATGATGAAAGTGGTCTTAGTACGTGTTTTTCAGCAGAAGGCAGTTTAAATCCTCATGCCTCAGTAAGATACAATTGAACAAGTCAGGAAGGCTTATCAGTTAGCTAAATGTTACCTAACTCACCCAGTATTACCAGTGTAAATCCAAGGCAAATGCTAACCTGGAGGGAGGCTAATATCATCACATTTCTTAGCTAATAAGAAAAAATGTTAGTCAGCCATAGGAATAACTAAACTGGAAAATGTACAGTCCATTTACAGATGGTAACACTGTGCTTCTGTCCTGGCAGAAGATGAAGCTTTAGTCATGAATCTGAATTTATAGCCTGTACACACCAGTGCACATATCCTGCGTGCTATGCTTGTGTGGTTTAATGGTTGTAGGTGATTGCATTGTGCCTGGCTTTAGCTGTATGTCCTGCTGTGGGATGAGTACTGACGAGAGTTTCCATACTCCCTACAGAGACCTCTGTAGTCCCTTCCCTGATCCTATGTCTCCCCTGCCATTAAATGTCAGTCAAGGTTTTGATCTCTGTGCTAAGGGCTGGCAGACTCCAAAATGCACATGAATAAGCCCCGCCATCAGAGTGCCCAAGGAAAATTGCAAATGCCTTGCTTATCCCCTGCTCAGACTTCGAAAGGCAAGCTCTGCTTGGATGGGATTTTTATTGTTCAATACAACTGCTGCTGCCCGGGGTGCCTGTCTTGGAGAGTGACACTAGACCTCCTCATGATGTTAAGCTTGGATATTAAACTTTTAGCCAAGAACCTGTGGATGACACCTAATTCATGCAGAATAGAGCAGGCGATGTCTGTCCTCATCTGTCAAATGGAGGTGCTGCCCACAGAAACTACAGATCCCAGTGTGCAGTCCTCTATCTCCATCCAGGCAGTCTGGCACGCGCCGAAGGAGAAGGTGGCTGCTGGACACTTGTGCACACAGCTCCACCACGTGCCTTCTGCACAGAGGGGCCCCTCGGCATCTGGGCCTGCTGGCTGAAGACCCTCTGCTGAGGGTGTTGCCGCCAAAACTCATGTCTGATTCCATACTGGGAGTCTGTGGAGATTAGAGAGGCACAGGGTCCGTAAATTGACTGTTTGTTGACTGGTTTGGTAATGTTTTTAATTGATTGCAGACACCTGCAGTGCCTTTCCAAAGTAAGTAGACAGCCCTGAAACTAACAAAGAAAAGAAGGGTAGTGAGCAAAGAAAGATGAAATGGATCCCCTTTTCTCTTTGATTCCAGCCCAGATTTTGGTAACTGGTAGGGATGAGAGTAAATACATTTTGGTGTGTGTGTCAAGTAGCCATTGATAGAGTTAAAATTTGCTGCAGAGGAAAAGCGTGCTATCGAGTGGAGGCCCAGGCTGGGAAGCCTCTGTGCTTCTGGCGGCAAGAGTAGCAGTTCTGGAGAGCTCCAGAGACACTTAATGGAAGTGCCAGGAGCAAGAACTGATTTCTTTGCAATGGCAAATGATAGCACGTGTGGTAACTATCCACAAAATGCTCAGAGGCTGTTATTTTATGGCCTGAATTGTGTTGCACAGCAGCTAAGAAGCAAATAGCTAGTATCTCCGTGTCTGTGTGTGTATGTGAATATATATATATATATAAATTCAAGCTCAGCATAAGCCATTTGGGATCATTTTCCATTCTGTGCTGTTGTGGGAGGAGCTGGCAGAACTGCAGCTGTGTTCAAGGCTAATCTGGCAGGGCACATACCAGATAGTTAGAGGAGTGCTTTGCTTGGGCAGTATGAATAGTTACAGCCTTATACAGCTTTCCTAGATTCTGTAGGGAAGACAGCACAGTTAATTTCAAAGGCTACTTTGTGTAAGATCAGGAGAAGAAACTCCCCTAATTTTTTCTGCAGAGGCCAGGGCCATAGGAGTCTCTGGTCTCTCTGCAAAGTTGTGCAGCACAAACAAATGTGCTTCAGAGGTGACATTTCAGTGGTCAGTTAGGGAGCACATGGTCTTAGATAAGTTGTTAAGAGTTTGTCCACAGTTTTGTGTGCACAGTGCATGCTTTTGGTTTATTTCTTTTTTTTAATCTTGCTACTGACCTTAATAGGAAAAGTCTTTCTTATAAAACAATGATCCGAAAGCCAGCCATTTGGCATTATATTCTTACAGAACCTTGTGCCTTTGAACGTGATACTTAGTCCTTCTGTGTATTATAACAGTTCATATGTGAAGCTATCTCAGAAATGCAAAGTATTCCTGATTTTCAGTGGAAATACTGTTTCTTATGGTACAGCAACGTAAGCTGTGCATGAGAACTTCATACCAAGTGACTATTTTTTATAGTTTGCATTTTGCACTAGTTAATGCTCATGATCACTTAGGCAGTTAAAACCAAAAGAGAGTGAATATCTATGCTAGAATTTCATCATTTCAGTTACGGATATTATGATCAGACCTCCTTAATATCAACAACTGGTTTCATCCTTTTCTTACTGTATTCAGTTTTCCACACACAAGGGAACTGCAGTATTTCTAGAGAGCACTGACTCTGACTACACAATGTATAGGGAAATAGATTGAGTAAGGAAATGGAAAGTACTTTCTGTGGTATTTTAAATATGGTAAGTTTATAATAACAAGAATAAAACATTTTCCAGAGGGAGAAGGAATTGATCACAAAAGGTTTCTGAATAAGTTTCAAAAGAAAGAAATATTTTTTAAAGACACAAGGAACAAATTAAATGTATTTTATTCATTTTGAAAAATGCTCACATATTTTCCTTCAATATTGTTTTCAAATTTCTCTTTATAGGAATTTTCTTTCATTAAATGTTTGAATCCATAAATAGAAGCTGTTCAGTTTAGAAGTATATATTTTATGTCAGAAATGTGATGTTACTGCAACAGTGATCTCCCTTTCAATATGATGTTGATTTGTTGTGCTTACAGTAGATAACAGATATACCTTTCAGCAATATAGTGCCACACTGAAGTAGACGCAGTATATATATATATCTAAGCTGATAGCTATGTTTAAAGGTACACATGCCTTTTTTTTTTTTTCCCTCTCCAGATCAAGTTTTTCCACCCTCGTGCAACATTAAAAAGAATTTTCTCTCTTTAAATTACCTTGCGGGATACCTACAACCAAAGCCAGCAGAGGGGTGCCTTATGTCTAACTTAGTCCAAGAAAGAGAAGTTCATATCATTGAACTAAGCACTCCAAATTCCAATCCTAACAGGTAAAATATCATCTAAATAGACTAAAACTGTTTGTAATCATAACTAAAGGTTTCACCTGTCTATTTAAAAATCAACTGAAAGTAACCATTTTATACTTACAAGAAAAACTCGGACTTTAGTACTTTGCCTTAAATAGAAATTAGTTCTTCAGTATGTAAAGATTTTGGATTCTGCTTCATAATCACAGGATCTTTCTGGACAAGACTGCAAAGCACAGTTTCTATGGACTATATCCCACCCCCCTTCTTGCTCAATCAATTGAATTTTTCCAAGACTAAGGTGAATAAGGGAATATCAGTAAGGGCAGCATCTGACAGATAGGGTTTAAGGTTAGACTACTGTATGAGGAGGTGAGAGAGAGGTTGAAAGTAATCTTGACCTGTCATTGGTTGGAATGACTGGCAAGAAAGCCTAGGACAGTGGCTTCCAAACAGTGGTCCAGAGGTTGCAAATGACCTGTGGTCTGTGGTAATTGTTCCACAGTTGGTCTGAAGATCCATGACAGTATTTTCTGTCAAGTTTCCAGTTGAGTTTAAGGGATAGTTTGATAATTGCAAAAAATGTTAAGGGTTGACAGTGGTCCACTGACCAGAAAAGTTTATAACTAGTGGTTAGGGAAAATAACTCTCTGTACACATTATGAGGATTATCTGAATTGTCGAAGGTACCTTTGGGAGGCAGGACATTTAAAACATTCATCTTTTGCTCGTCTTTCCTAGATCTCAGTGGGAGAACATTAATGGGGTTTGCTTCAGATAGTCATACTTGAAAAAGCTTGTATTAAGTGCTGACTATGGTTACTAGAACAGAAATCTGCCATGAAACGTAGATGGTTACAATTTCATCAGAGATAAGATAGCATTAAAATCCTGTCTGCTTACTGCTGACACTGGATATCCAGCACTGTTCAGTCGTGCTCTTCATGCAGTTACACATGAGCATGTCCTATCCCTAATGAGAAAATCACACAGATGGGATGGGAGGAGGGGTCTTTGTAAAAAAGGATAATTATCTCATTACAAGATGTTGAATCCAGAGCCTGACAATATTCTTGCCTAGCAACCTGGGGAGAATAAAAAAGTGCTGAGATGTAGTGGAAGGAGAGTAGGTAACCCCAAATGATTTGCTTCTGTGAGTTGCAGGCCCATCCTGAACAGAACTGATCTTTAGCATCAGCCATCATTCTACATCCCATGTAGTGCTATGCAATGACAGCCTGGATTCCAAGCCCACTGGACTTTTGGCTTTGGCTGATAGTACAATAGGAGTTTGGTTTTCAGATAACAGTGAAAATGTTTAAGTATTTTGTTATTCAAAATAAAAGAAATGATAAGTTGCTTTGTTCTTAGTTTTATGTGTTATCCATAGCTATCTTTACAAAGTTTAAATCCACAAAGAAACATACGGAAGCCAATCTGAGTGTGTGTAAAACTCCAGGAGGGGAAACAAAGGCCCCAAAATACAACTAAGTCTCAGTGCAGAATATTAGTTAAAACCTGTTGCTTGGGGATGAGCATGTTCTTGTGATGTGTGGCCCCATAAGATGGTCTAGAAGTTTACATTTTTCTGTTGAATTGATATTTTGCATGACAAGGTGTTATTGATGGGTACAAACCCATTTGCTCTGTCCATTTGCTTATTTTACTGAGATCTTGAAAATCTGTATAGTGTTCATCTATTTTCCAGCAAGCAGTGGGCTGGACATCTGGGGTTTTTTTCTGTTTCGAGTAAGTATATATCCAGAAGGATTGGAAACTGAATACACTGCTTAATTCCTCAACACACGCAAGATCCTAAGCAAAGTAATTTCCACAATTTAACTGCCTAAGCAGAGGCATCCTTCAATACAGTATTTGTGGTTTGATTTGGGTTTGGATTTTTTGTGTGTGTGTTTGCGTTAAGCTGCTTAATTTGTCTTTTTGCCTTTTTTAAGGTATTATTTTGAGTTTTAATACAGTTGTAGCCAGAGGAAACTGAAACAGCTATATTTACATGCTGTCAGAGGAAAATAAGAAAACAGTGTTTATTTTATAAAGCAACCTACTAGTCATATAACTTACCTGCTCTAAATAATAGCTGAAATGAATAGCACACACTTTGTAAATAAGAGACAACAATATTATTTGTCTAAAAAGTACTTGTTTCTATTGTTATGCAAAATCACTTAAGCGTATATGGAATAACAATCTGTTTTGCACATGTTGTGTTGCCTGGGATAATATCCAGCATTTTAATCAGCTGGCCAGACAGTGAAAACATGATGGATTGGAAGAAGGTTGATAGCTGAAAATTTCTGGCATTCTGTTCTAACTTTCTATTTTCCACATCCAGTGCTCTCCAGGTGGATATAATCGTTGACATTAAACCATCTCAACCAGGCGCCAGACTTGTCAGAGATGTCGTACTTATCCTCAAGTGTAGAAAGTCTGTCAACTGGGTTATCAAGTCTCATGATGTCCAGGGAAAGCTGGAAGTGATTGTAAGTTAAGGCACCTTTATTTTTTGAGAGATACAATACTGCAACAATATAGAATCCATTTAAATGTCATGTAATTGCTTTTTTTTTAATTATTAATGCATGTCAGGGAGTAAATGCAGAAACTATTTTGTCTCGTTAGTTTTTAATATATGGGCTATTAGACCAACACATGGCAGAAGCCAGGTGGTTAGTGCAAGGATTTAGGGTCTGTGTCTTTTAAACTTCTGTTGAAGTACCCTAAACACAGAGTTGGATCTTCATCTCCCTTTTTACTGTTACTTTAGTGAGTGGATCTACAGGTTCATCTCAGAAGTTGGAACAATGCCTCTGAGTGCAGAATGGATAATACTGAATATGTGACACACACCCACAACCCTTAGAAGTGGAAACAGTTTTACTTCTCCTGCTTGTGGTTGTAGTTGTGTCTATCCCTCTTCCCTGCCAGTACTTCTGCCCCAGTAAATGTTTGGTCAAATTGACCTCTTCTCTCCTCAAACTGCAAATAATAAGTTTTTTAAAAGTTAAAACCAGGATCTCTAAAGCTAAACTTCTAAAATTACTGAGGATGCTGGTTAACATTGATTTTTGGTACGGGCTTTGTAGCTCAGCACCATTTCTACTAAGAAAATGTGTTTTCCCTTGGTCTGAAATAAATAAACATAATTGGACTGATCACGCAGCCAATAAATGTGTGGCCTATTTCTGTCTTAAGTGATCAGTTAAGAGCACATTGTACAGTTGAGGTGAATGTTTGCTCAGGACCACCTAGTGGCCTCTTGATTAGCAGTTTTGCAGTAATTCAGTTACGTTTTCAAACTTCAGCTCTCTATTTATGGGAGTTTTACTTTACTGAGTAGCATTCTGCTTTTGATGTGTGTAAGGGTCGTTTTGACAGGATGCAAAGGCTGATTGATCTAAATCTCCCAAGAGGACAGATTGGTAGATAGAATTTCATGCTATATTTTGAGAGTGAAGGAAATAAAAGAAAACAAATTTTGGTGTTGCTCAGAAAATTGAATGGATTTGTCTTACAGACAGGAAAGGGTGTTCTGGTCATTCTGTAGGTCCTAAATAATCAGTCTTTAAAGAGAAAGGTCAAGGTTAGGTGCTGAGGATTACCACTCTTGTAAGCAGAAGGGCAAAAAAACAATGCTTGACTTTAAAGTTTCATTCTAGGTTATTATGTAAAATTCACCACTGTATATTTGGGCCCATATGGGTCTACTTTCACAGGATAGAGAATTGTGCTTTAGTTCCCTCTCTGCTTGGAGATAGCTCAAGTACCATATTTCACCTCCATGAGGCTATCACTTTATGGATGATCAATTTTCCTGGAGAGGATTTCTACAGAATTTTAGAATTCTGTTGTGTGTAAACTGCTGTACTTGAATATAGAAAAGGAAAGCTGCTATTATTTTTAAATTTCTTCTTTATTAATTATTATTAATTGGTAAAGTATATATATATAAATTATAAATAATATAATTATAAAAGTATAATTAAAAATTCCCTGTAATGAGTGGCAGAAGGTAACACCTTATTTAGATTAACAAAAAGAAAAAGTAATGCATAAAATATATATGGAAATGTCAGTATATAAAAGACTGTATTTATGTTGGGATTTGTGGGTAACTGTTTGCTTTACTGCTTTATGTATATAGATGTTTCATTTTCTGAATATGTGTTTGTTCTCCTTTATTTAGAGAGGGTGTGGGAGGGGACCAAACTCCCCTATGTCATTAAAAAGTCTACATATCCAGCATTTAGGATCTCTTCATATCTCTATTAAGCTGAAGACCTTTCCAAGCCCAAATTTAGACTGCATAAAAACATTACTAAGCAATTAGGTAATGTTTCACAATGTTCTTTTTATTAGTTGAAGCAGTTCCACGCACTTCAATTTTCCTAACTTCTTGCCGTCAGTACAAATCAGAGTTGTCTTGAGGGGACTGGCAGACTGAGAGGGAAAGGTTAGTGCTGAGCTGCCTCAGACCCAGGACTGTGAGTTATTGAGGTCTAAGTTCACAGACAAAAAATGAAAAAGACATTGTAGCTCATATAGCTCATCTCCCAGATTGCTGTGTTTCTTGAAACTCTGGAAGAGAGTGTATACAAACACCAGTAAAATGGGAGTCATTTAGGTAAATGATACTGCACATCATGTATGTGCAGTGCTTTCCTCCCAGGCTGTGTTTAACTCCAGCATGCAGTCTGTCCTTACAGCAGCCCCTCTGCAGTGCTTGTCTGGTTATGTGCCTGTAGGCTGCTGTTCACACTGCTTTCTTTGGTTTTGGTGTCCTTTTGCAAAGCTGGGAATTGCACAGTGAAGTTGCAGAAAGAATCTAAGTGTGTTGAGGGGCGAAGAGTGAGAGAAGTGAAATGCACAGAACCCTGTGAGGGTTTCAAAAGCTTGGAGGGACTGTTCTTTACATGAGAGCAACTGCCCACCACTTTCAGAAATGGTCTCTCTTCTGAGTAGGTTAGTGGGGGCTCTGATTGCCTGCTTTCAAACACTGTGTGCAAAGGTGTTGGCAGGGCAGGCAAGTGAAGGTCTATTCCTGCAAGCCCTTGTTCTCAGGTTTTGTTTCACTAAGGTAATGCAGGATTGAACATTTACAGGCTCATTGTGGAGTGGAGTGGTATAAACAAGCCCTGGAAGTGCTTGGGTGCCAGCTAGGACAGTAAACTTCTGGGATAATATTTTTTCAGCTGTCTGCTTCTGACAAAAAGTAAAGGAAGGCTGAGAGGCAGATGCAGCAAAGTTGGAGTAGCATAATAATTCCAACCAGTCAAAGCTGTGGTAATATGACATTGTGTGATCAATCGTGTCCAGATTTGCATCTATTGAAGATCAAAGATCAGTTGATCCAAAACTGATTAAGGCACTAAAATTAGGATACCTATTGCTCCATTTTTGTTTCTTACCTTCAGTGGCCTTTGTTGGTCATTGATAACTGTACTAGTAACAGTATCCTCAGACCACACACTGTACCTAAAATTATTTTTATTGTGGAGCTGCAAATGTTTAAAAGCTGCAGAACTGGGTCTCTAGGAAGAAATGAGGGAGGGAGCTGAAAGTATACTCTGCCATACCATCAGGACTCTCTACATGCTTTATTCACTTCTTTGTTCTAAAGTCGTTTCTGATGTCAGGTGAAGTGCAGCCAAGCTCTGTGACCTGTGTAGCATGTCCATACAACCACTATCTAAAAGAGATCTCAACAGTCAGTCTTATGATGTTCTAGAGTGAAAAAGATTTAAGATTTGAGGAAAACCAATGGGGATGAAAAAAAATGCAGCCTATATGATGGAGAAGATAATTGAGCATGGAAATTAAAGTGTTTATGGAACATTCCGTGGTATCAGCTGCATTAGAAAGTGTAATTCAATCACATTGCAAAAATCATTGAAAAGTGGGTCATCAATGCCTTTCCTGCAGCATCTATGTTCAACTTGTTCTGTAGCCATTGATGTGATTGTTATAGTGATAATAGTAGTGTTGTGAGTGTAAAAATAAATATATATGTATTTAGCTTTGTGTGAATACATGTTAAAGATGCCAAGTACTTAAATGCAAGTTTAAGTGTAATACCAGTTAATATTTTCTAACTGCCCCTCTAACAGTGAGAGATACTTGTTCTATTACTTTGACTTACCCATTTGGACAAGAAAATTTGAAAGTTAGCAAAACATTTACCGGAAAATGGAAACTAGCTGACAGTGTGACTCACCTGTATTCCAGTGCCAACTTTTTTGAGGCATTATTTGTAATTATTAATAATTTAAAAAAATGAAACATGCAAGTGCATTTATGAGTTTGCTGTATCAATTTATTTGTGTAAAACTTGTATTGTTAATTAAATCTTAAAATTTTTTGTATGCAGAAAGTATATGTTATTTGAGTAGTCTGAGCATGCATAAATGTGCATGCTCTCACTTACTGCTCTATTAAGCGTTTAATTCAATCTTGTTTAACATAATCAAAAATTTACAGGAGGCATGCAGCGTGTCTAGGGTGCTCATTCAGACACAGCCTGTCCTTGGTGCCAGCTGACTTTAAAGCATGAGCTGGTATCAGCTCTACTTCATGAGCATGCTGTTTTGCCTTTTTCAGTAATACTCATTTGAACAAAGGTTTTCCCTTATGCAGCTGAAGTAATGCTCTCATCAAAGAAATGAAGGGGACATTTAAAAAATCAGTTGGCATCTTGAATTCACCTCACCTTGGAAGTAATTTCAACTCAGTTTTGAAGAAAGTATTGCATTATACACATTACTGTAAATATGTCTTTGTCTCATTTCAGGATTAACAGTTTTTAACTACCTTGATTTACTGTACTCCAGCCAGAGGCTGGGAGGAAGGGGGAGGCCTTTTTCCATGTATGCAACAGTTATGTGCCTACAGTGGCAGGGTTTGGTTTATTTCCCAGGTGTCCTCAGTTTGTTGTTATATAATAGAGTAAAACAGATTAAAAAAATAGGTTCAATCAGTATCACTACTCCATTTCAAGTATCCATAAATCATAAATCACCAACTAAGTTTGTCTTTATTTGCAGACATCAAATAGTATTGGGTTTGGAAAGGAAACAGAGAGATCCATGAGTATGAGTAAATCAGTAATACCTGATATTCCCTCATCGCATGAGAGTTTGATCAAGTGGGCTTATGAGCATAACTATAGTCCAGTTACTTCCTACACAAAAGCCCCTGTTGCTAACAGATTTCATCTGCAACTTGAAGATACAGGTAAGCTTAAAAATGGATTTTTAGCATATAGAAAAAATACATCTTGTATTTCCAGGAATACAATTACTTAAAAGATGTTTTCTCAGTTTTGAAGCTTTGGTTTTGGGCATTGCACAGCTTTTACTTTCATCAAGAACGCCAGTAATATCTGTGAATGATGGCTTTTTGATTAGAAAAGTCCAGGCAAGTTGTTTTATTTTCTGAAATGTTGGTGGAATTAGGTGTTTATAGTTTATCCAACACACAAGTCTTTATATCTGACCATGCTCAGTGTTCACTGAAATGAACTTGAGCAACCAGATATCTTGTTAGTTTATAAGTCCAGCTTTGATTTTTTTTTTAGTGTTGTTTTTTTCCCCAAAAGTATGAGCATAGTGTTTTCTTGAGACAAGAAATTGTCTCAAGAAACAATTAAATAAACATTTAAATTGTTGACAGACATGATAATAAATACAACCATTAAAAAGAAAAAGTTATTTGGCCAAAGTCATTGCTGATGTAAAGATATCTGGGTCCATTGAAGCTAGCAGAGTTGCATCTGTTTTTTTCACTAGTTCTGAGTTTCAACCACTTTAACCATTTTGATAAACCTTATGTTCACATAATTTTATCAGTTGCACTCTGATGGGTTGCAGATAATTATCTGCCTGAGGCAGATGTTGAGATTCCTGTCCTGAGCAGTCACATGTATAAGCCAGGAGATAGTTTTCTCATTTACTCACTGTAAAGTTAACTCTCATTTAGCTTCACTCTGGTTATGTAAGTAGTTTCACAACAATAGAGTGAATGAATTTGTGATGAGTTGAGTAATAAAAGAATTTAACCCAATGATTTGCACTTAGACTATTTCAGCAGCACTAAAATAGTATATTTATGAATGTGATGTTTCTTTTACCTCTGTGGTTCTTTTGCATATAATAGGTCTACTCCTCAAAGTTTAATTTCAGCTCTTAGTGTTGGAGGTTTTTAGCAGGGACCAAATATACCAAGATTAGGTGCCTCAGGAACAATTAAACCTTTAGTTGGAGGAGTTTTGGCTAGTTATCTGAAAAGTACAAAGATGCTACTTTAGATGTCCTTCAGGAGCTTCTTTTCTGGATATTTTTTTTTTTTGGTATGAAAATTATTAATGCTGGATACTTTTTAGGAAAAATATCTAATGAACTTATGGGGGGGGTTATCTGGTTCTTTTTTTTTTTTTTTTAGAAGAGATGAATGATGAAGAAGACCATTCCCTTCCTCCAGAGCTGACAGAATTGCTGGGAGCTAACCCACTGCCTGCTCCAAAGAATCCCACGTTAAGTGATGGCCTGACTTTTCCATTTCACATTAACAGAGGAAGGCATGATACAGTGGGAGAAGAAATCTTCCCATCCAGGCATTCAGTAGATACGTTAATAAATCATGACTTTGGACATTCCCTCTCAAAACATAAAGAACCAGAAGAGGTTCAGGGCAGTGCTGATGTGGCCCTGTCGATAAAGTGTGATGACAAAGCCATGACAGTAGCTGTAGAAAAAGATGCTCTGCAGGTTGGTGTGCTATCTTATTCTCAAAATTGGGTAGGCTTTTTTTGGACAGACCATTTTATTTGCATTTTGATTGAAAAAATAAACATTCTAAGATCAACCCCCCAAAAAATAGTTTGGTGAGGAAACTATACTGTAGATATTCTTTGCCATAATTCAGAATCGTGTTTCCTCTTCACAACAATCCGATGGTTTTTAGAGGGATTTGCTATTAAAGCTTTGCAGGGTTGGCTCTGTCAAAAAATTAGTGTGCTCAACCATCAGTCTGTTTTTAATTTCCGAAGTATAAAGAAGCTGCTTTTGATAGCAATGTGAAACCTGAATAGGTCTGTACCATCTACCAGCTGACAGGTTGCTTGTGTCCATTTGCATTGTGGAAAAGAGCCTGATACAGACAGCATTTTTAGCTTATTTCAGACCACAGTCAGCATTATTAATCAGAAGATTAATAATGAACCTGTTGTTTTCTTTGTTCCATGCTACATTTATTCCCCGTCTGTCATGTGTAACAGCATTTTGAGAGTGACCTTCCCTGGATGTCAGTACAATGAACTTCACTTCCTCCTATGAGCAATCATGAACAGTATTCTGAACTGCACTTTAAGCAAGAGCTGAACACAATTGTGTTTCAGTCACTTACAAAGCATCTTTGTTTCAGGCCAGTGGCTACACCCGGACAGAGCTCTCGCTGCTGGATCACTCTTGCAAAGCCAGGATGAATGGCACCCATTTCATTTTGGAGTCTGCACTGAACAAATGTGGGACTCGGACAGCATATATCTTGAACAAGATTGTTTATTTTAACTCTGTGAGTATTTTACAGAGAGGACCCACCTTCTGCACTGCACATCATAGTAGTACAAGGAAGCTGTTGCAATTAGCTTTAGTCTTAGCAAAAAGGAGGTATCCTGATCTTTTCCTGTCTAACTCAAACCTCGTTGCAGCCACAGTCCCTGTGTTCATGGAGGCATGAAGGCTTCATATTCAGGGTGCTCCTGTGGTCAGATAGTATCCCGAAGGAAAAAGGAGGAGTTGGAGTTAAATACTTTTTACAAAACTGCATGGCTGCCCTTTGGGGACTATCTGTACCAGTCTCAGAGAATTTGCACCAGCTTTCCCTGTGCAGCTTTGATGCATTGATGCATAAGCAGTACTATATTCTGTAAGGAGGAATGGGAATTTTGTGATTGTACAAAGCAATACCAATTAATTTGTATGCTGAATTAAGTGAAAATTTTTTCTTCTAAAATTGTGTGTGAAAAAGGCTCTTAAAATATGAGGAAAATACATTAATTATGCACACTTCTCCTTTAGAATTTGAGTTTATATTTTCTGTCTGTTGATGTACATGATGAAGGGACTCTTGGGTACTTGCATATAAGTGTTGATGCAAAGGAGCACAGTTAGGTTGTAAGCGACTGCTTCCAGACTGGCTCAACTTATGAGCCTGAGTGCAGTGCAGCTAATCTGGATTGGAAAGTAGTGACACATTTCTCTTGCTGAGCTTTCCAGTACATAGAATAACCTTGGCAAATGATGGAAAGCCTGTGGTCCAACCCAAACACAGCTAAGGCAATCTGATCTGACCTTGCCTGGTTACAACTGTTCTATACTGGTGAGTTGGTAGCACCTAACTTTAGAAACAGTCCCAAACCAGCACTGTGGATAGAATCATCAGCAGACTACAGAGCAGCGTGTGTCTGGAGCTAAATACTGTCATTGTCCCTGTATTCTATTATGGCCCAAACTAAAACAGTCATTTACCTCTTCTCTTTTCTTTATCACGTCTTTTAAAAGTCTTGGCTACACACTTGAACTCCAAAACCCATATGGTATTTTTCAGAATTTGGTAGCATTTCTCCTGAAAAATAAACACCCAGCAGTGGAGTGTCAAAAGGTGTGTATATGCCACTTTTTAGCAGTTGCTCTATGTCCAAGAAAACGAAGTCCTGGAAGGGAGGGAACTAGCTGAGGACCCACAAGGCATACTGAAGCAGAGTGCAGAACACTGGAAAACAAAACGAGGAATTTGCAGGTGAAGTAATGGAGAAGTGTACAAAGGATTAAAAGAAAAGGTTGGAATTCAGTACAAATTCAGTGAAAAACAAGGGAAAAATGAAGAAGAGACATAATGTTTTTGGGTTTACGTCTCTGGAAAGAAAAAATGCAAGTGACAGAGGAGAAAATCCTGTAATAACCCTAACACTTCTAGTGATTTTTCCTGAATACCTTAAGGAAAACTGTAAGTTGCAAAAAATCGCTTTAGAAAGCCGTCTCCTTTTTCAGTGTTGGTTATAGAAATACCAGAAATAGAACAGAAATGCTAGGCTGCTCATTCAGACACCAACACCCAGATTGGTGTTATCACTGGCTCTGAATTCTGGAAAAAAACTAAGGAACATTCTTGAAATGCAAGCTACATGTCCTACATGCTCAGCACAATGTTGTTTAAGACATGCTTTTACTATCTGCTTAGCTGGTGCTCTTCTTTTGGCCTTTGCATTGTTCTGAAGAGAGAAGAAAATAACCATGAGAGTGCTCAGTTATATCTAATCTAATTTGTTTGCAATATCTTTTGAGCAGATTGTCATTCAGCTGTCATCACCAGCTGAAGGCAGCGGCTTTGATGATGATGACATGGAATCAGGTGATAATGGATTTCCAGGGGATGCTGATGAGGGAGATGTTTCTTTCTCAAGCTGGCCTGAAATAGCGGTATGTTACTCTCAGTTTGCACCTGCCAATAAAGAAATACCTATTGTAATAGGCATTCCACATAAATTACATTAATTGTATAGAAATTAATTTGTCTTTTAACACATTTCTTCTCACTACTGTTTCTTATGACCCTGTTGAAGATTTACACTAAGTAGGTGGAACATGGGGGAGGCCTGTATTTCGCACACCAAATTTGCCCTTATCCAGCTACCACTCCTGACTCAGGATGTTATTGTATTTATTTTTTTTTTTTCATTTCAGTTTAATTGCACACTGCACCAGCCAGAGGATGACAGAGGCATATTTTGGCCTCCTGAACCACACATCACCAATGTTACCTTCAACATGGAGCTGTACAAAACAGATTTGTTCCTTGCTCCCTCCCAAGGACTCTTCTCTGTTGCTGAGAATGGGCCGATATATGTAGAGGTAACAAGTTGAAAAAGGCTTTCAAACTAACAGAAGCATTTTGCAAGGCCATGCAATTGAGCCAAATCTGTTGTGAATTGAAGGGTTTTGGGCAGTTGGTTTAGGCAGGCAGGTAGCTACTGTGGTGGCTGCAGAGAACAGAAACTGTGGGGTAAGAAGTAGGACAATATTTTGGGTAAAAACCAAAGGATTCTTGCAAAATGGATGAATTTTTCTTACAAGGTAAATCGGTGATTCTTGCCAAATCTGCTTTTCTGTGCAGAACTTAAAAGTGTCTCTGGGCTCTTGCTGTGAACTGGCATGTCCTGATGAAGACTTCAGGGTTCATTATATTTGGTAGTAGATCTGAACCTCATCTGAAAGATGTAGACGTGCAAAAAATTATTACAAGTGTGTGTCTTTCATATGCTAGTTGTTCTCAGGTTCCACCATTAGTACAGATTCTGATGTCTCTCCAGTTCACTTAAAAACATCAGTTACAATCCTTTTGAATGCTGCCACACAAGGATCTACCAGATTTAGATAAGTAAGACTAAAGCAAAATCAACAGCCCTTGACTTCAGGTGTGTTTTGCACATGATAATATTTCCTTGTGTTGTTCCTCATCTGGGGAATTTCAAACTAATACAGTCAGTATTTCTAAATATAGCCATGTGTACAGAATTTTGGATTTTGCAAATAATGGTAGGCATTAATAAATACAACTTTGGCAGTGAAGAAGTATCACTAGTTCATAGATGAGTAAACTACCAGGTGTGAACTATGGGCTTATAAGACCAAGAGTATATTTACTGAATTAGTTCTGTGCCATAGTTCTCTTGCCCAAGGTAGTTCCTCTTTGTGAGTCCGTGTTGCACATGATAAGCACAGTGACCTGTCTGACATTGGTGCAGTTTTCTTCATATCGGTGTGTTGTGTCTCTTCCTCGTTCTCTACCCAGTGAAAAGAGTTTAAGATAGTCGAAGCAAAAACAAAGTATGTCACACTCTATTAAGAATATGTTTATAAAAGACACTTCTTTTTTTTTTCATTTGGATAAAACCGTCTGCTTCCTTCAGTGATCTGAGATGAATCCCCCTGGCTCCAAGCCCTCTGGATTTGTCTGGTTCTGTAGCTGTTTATTCAGACAGATGTTCTGATTTCTTCATCACCTGTCCTGGCAGAAGCCTTTTTTTTCTGTTTTTCCTTCTTGTGCCTTGAAAAACATATGAGTTTTGAACTTCTGTGACTCCATTTTTTTAACAGACTCAGATAATTTTTTTTTGTTTTTTTGTTTCTATTTTGCATTTTTTATTAACAAATATATTTGGGGGGGTTGATAAATAGATCATAATCAGTAAGAACTCTATATCTCCCTTTTCCTTGTCTGCTAAAGATTTTTTTCGTGTTTCAATATTTTGGGGGGGGGATTTTCTTCTCTGCTGTCATTTTCTCACCTTCCTCCTCTAGTTGTTTTCTTTCCTTGAGATATCATTCATCCTTTTATTTAATGAACTGTAGTATGCCTGTCCCCCTTCCCATAATCTCTTATTTAACTAATTTACACCAGCAGCTTGTTTCCTGTCAGTATTTATGGCTGACTTTCATTTATCCATCTTTATTTCTGTTCTTTTTGGAAGATGGTCTTTCTTGCTTAGAAAATCCCTTGCACATCCCTTCGTCTCTAGTTTGATTGCTGCTCACACAAGGGAGAGAAAAAATGAGAAATGCCTTTATTCACAGCAAAACTCATAGCATTCAAAAATTACTGCACAAACCACAGAGTTTGGCAGGCTCTTCCTTAAAGATACATGAGGCACATATGGATTAAGTACACAGATAAGGCACATTTCTTCTAAGAAGCAAATTATTTCTTGTGGAACTGTTTCATTGGGCAGTGTTAATGGTTAGAAACAATGCTTCTGTTGTTTATTAAGAGCAACACGGCTCATTCGTTACAAATTCCATTTATTCTTTTTTCTTCTAATTATTCTGTAGCATTTGTTGTCTGCATTCCAGTCCAGCTGAGCAACGTCAGGGCCTCGGAAGTTTGCAGTCTTAATTATTTTTCATAAAAGAATATGAATTTCAAACTTACAATAAACTAAAAGGATCCTTTCACAAGAAATTATGGCTTTTTAGGAGTCTCCCTCAACCCCCCAGTCCAGGAATGCCACCCACACGTCAGACCATGACCTCTTCTCTGCCTTTGCATTCCTGTCATGGCTGGGGGTGGGTTCTCTGTGTCTGTTGCTTTTGTATTTTTTCTTTTTCATTATAGTTTCAAACAGATACAAAGATATGGAATTAGTGATTGACTTCCATCCAGCTCTGTCACAGCGTGTGTGTCTAAGGGAAGCAGTGCCATTTCAGGTGGCAGTCACAGTCATTAACTGTGTGTCTCGTCTGGGCTGGGTTTTTCATCTGCTTTCAGGAAGATAAGAGATAGCTGTATTTATGCACGGTTATGCTATTAAACAGCTGCTGATTTTGAAACCACAGATTTTCTGTCTCTCAGTTTGACAGTCTACTCTTAACATTTAGCCTTCAAAATAGTTCAGGTTGGAAATGGTACTGGAAAACTGCTTTAAAAATTGTTGAAAATATTAATGAAATGTGAACCAAAAATGTCATTTCTGAGATCTTACCATCTCTTTCTTTTTAATGCAGGTGTCTCTGACTAAAGCTGACAGATCCTTGGGCTTTGCCATTCAAACATGCTTTGTTTCCCCGTTTTCAAATCCAGATAGAATGTCTGACTATACCATTATAGAAAACATTTGTCCTAAAGATGAATCTGTTAAATTCTACAGTACTGAGAAGGTGAACTTTCCAATACCACATGCACAGAGGGACAAAAAAAGATTTAGCTTTGTGTTTAAACCAATGTTCAACATCTCACTGCTCTTTCTTCACTGCGAGTTGACTTTGTGTACAAATAAAGACAAAGATACTCAAGGACTGCCAAAGGTCAGTAATTTATAAAGTTAAATCTTATGATTTAGATGAAAATAAGGTATTTTTCTCATCTGACCTCTGAAGTGAATAAACGGTTTTCTGTGGAATTGATGTAATAAACATGGTATCTCTAGGCTCAGGATTTTAATAGAGAAGAGTTATTATAGTATGCATTTTGACTACATGATTTACAGTTTCTGTTTAAATTTCATTGGATGGTTACAAATAGAAATTGCTTTTTATTATACAAGTGGTTCAGGATGATCTTTGCTGTCCATATCACATCCATATCCAAAGCACAAACAATGTTAGCTTCAATTTCCAAAACCGTGCATCATATAGGTTAATATTGTAATCTGATTGCTACAAAAGAGAATTGCCAAATTTTGCTTTATAACTAATGGAATTATATATAAATTAGTTGTTAAAGAATGTATTCTAAGAGTTTGGAATTTATTTTTAATTTGGGGTTTATACACATTTCACTTAAAATGTGTTTTTTAAAAATGATTTGTCATTGTTCATTAACATGTGTCAGTGGCTACAGTTTTGACTACCAGATTTTTAGAAAAAAAAATTATCCTGAAATAAAATAATTACTACCATTTAAGTTTAATAGTAACAGTCTCATAAAGGTTAGAGAATCTTTAATGAAGGCAGAGGTTGCATCCTGAAATACAGCTCATTACCTTTGCCAGTACGTTAAATGGGGGTTGTTTGGAGGTTCTTGGCAAACAGGTGACTCTCTGACCTCACACACTGTTTTTCCACTTGCAGTGCATTCCTCCTGATGAAGCTTGCACCTCTCTCAATGTGGATATGATCTTGGCCATGATGCACAACAAGAAAACCTTCACCAAGCCCCTTGTAATAACACATGAAGGAAAACAAGAAGGTATGAAAATGAGCTTGAACTCTTTAATAAAGCTATATATATTATATTGTGTAACATACAGGGACTTGAAATGAGGGAGTGCTCCAAGTATGTGGCATTGTGTAATCTTATGGTGATACTGTGTCTGTAAGATGTTACTTGTTTAGACATTTCCCTGGCAGCAGTCACCATGGCAGTTCGTTGCTGTTTTCTGATTGTATTGATCTCTGGACATGTGGTTTTGCCAGGCATAGAGAAAGGAATGCTGTACTGGGGTTTGGAATATGAATGCAGCAGTAGCATTTGCAGCAACCTTGTTGCCCAGAAATCAAAGGCAGTGCTTTGCTCCCTACTTTATAATTTATTTATTGTGCTTGTAAATATAAATTTAGGAATAACAACAGTGGAATTACAAAGTATTGAGGGTGCTAAAGCCTGATAAGTTTGTAAAGCAGAAAGGTGGCCACTGGAGACTCATTAGACAGTTAAACTATTAAGAGCAAAAGATGAGATGCACAAAGGTGCTCCACTTTGGCGGGACTTGTTTGATTATGTAATCTGTATTGCAAGAAAATGAGTGTGGTTAGTAACTGATTGAAGGATTTGGAGAAGCTGAATCAAAATGTTCCAGTAGTGTCCAAGGACTGTTTGACCTTTGGAATGTTTTTTGGGAAGCATCAAAAAGATGGAGATCAGAAGTCCTTTAACCTCCATTGTACAGTGCATACTTTTTAGTCTTCCAACAATTTAAAGTACCGTACAGCATTGCTAGGGGACATAAGCAACAACTGCTTCTGTCTAACTCTGCAAGTCAGCTCATATTTAGTTTTGGAGGGTTTTCTACGAATTTGTTAATACAGATCAAATCCACTATGAATTAAAGGTGAATATTTGATCTGTCACTTAAAACTGTGCTTTGGGCCTGATTCTGTGCTTTATTTTTGCTCAACTCTCATTTTATTTCAGTGGGCTTTCTATTGGGAATGAGTAAATCCTGCAACTGAAATTCAGCTTTCAATAAACAGAGTCGTACTCTCAGCTCTCTTGCCCTTGTGATGTGTGGAGCATTGTGCGCAGCTCCCATCTTGGGCTCCACTCAGAATGTTGTCTTTGTCAGAGGCACAAGGTCTTAGTGTGCAAAGACAAGCTAAATTTATAAAGATTAGTTACAAGACAACAGTGTGATAGAGTATTTCGTTGCATTGTGGATGATTTACTTTAATTGTGGGATGTTTGGTGGAAATCTCCCCAGCATATCCCAGCTTTCAGACATAATACAGAGTGGCTCATTAACAACATAGCTTTGTTGGTGTGCAGTTGTCCTGCAGTGAATCAAGCAACCCCTTTCTTAAAGCCAAATGTCGTGTTGGCCAATATGTGAACCTAAGATTTGAAGAAATTATATCACATTACTGAACAGTAGAATTTACCTCTCAGAGGTGGTGTTCTTCATTTTCTTTAATATGAACAGACCAGCTTTCACTGTTATAAACCATACTGTGTGAGGTGCTGCCATTGGATCTGCTCAGCAAGCCAACTTGTGAAAGTTAAGCGCTTGATGTTTCAAAAGTCAGAACAAATTGGTTGTTGCAAAAGTGTCTTTTATTCTCTTCAGACATAAGTTTATAACTGTCATTGACTGTACTAGAAATTACAATGGTATATCCAAATGAGAATAACTCTTCCTTCTCTCCTAATTTTGTTAGTTATTTACGAGACTGTTGGTTATATTATTGCACTAGATCTCAGTGGAAGTGTCTAAAACCTAACTGCTTGCCACGTTCTTTCCCTTTGCATTCCTACATTTCACACACATGATCTCCCCCACTTCAATGAAAGGCATATGGATGGCCATTTAAATGATAGGAATTACATGTTCTTCTGTTGAAATAATCTACCACTGTCATTGTTCAGACTTTTGCTAAAGTGTGGAAACTTCAGATTAGTATTTCTACTGCAAAAGGAGACAAGTCATAGAAAGGAGGTCAAGTGGGCAACTAACAAGTGCTTCTATCCTACAAAGATATATAAAATTACAATAATTCTAAAGGCTGGTTGATCTTGTTTTTAAATTAGATGTTTTTTGTGGACCTCAAGGATTCTCACTGCTTCTGAATTGCTCTGAGCAAACCACAATAAAGTACATGTAAGAACTGGATGACTGAAGCGAATTGATAATGGACTGCACAGCTTATCATTAGCAGATTTCATATTCTCTGTAGAGAAGCCAGTGATAGAAAGAGCATGGAAAATTCATTTTCCTCTCAGCTTAAAAGGAATTTTTTTGGCACTTGGGATATGCTAGTGGAGTGTTTGGACAATCTGATAGTGCCCTTACCCATGTTTGTACTTTTCACTGCTCCTTGGTTTCAGTCCAGCCCTCCTCACAAATCTTACATTCAGTTACACTGTTGGTGTTATGTTTGTTTGATTTTCCAGCTTATTTGTGAATGCACACCCAGACACCCACACATCCCTCTATGCTCTCACCTGTTTCTTACTTCTGTTTCACCTGTTTCCTATCATCTGCCAAGAGATACTCGTGTTCGAACAAGAGTCAATAACACAGTTTAAGAATAAAATGCTATTTGGATTTTGTACGCACGCATCTCACGTGTCTCAGAGCCTAATGGTCTAAAGGATATTGCTGGAAGTTTAGCACTGCTGTCTGGGCTTTAGAAGTTAGAAGCATAGTCTTGGTTTAAGAACACTTAAAATAAATAAATATATATATTTATTTTTTGCGCTGCTATGTTTGCATAACATTTAAACTATTTTTTTTTTCAGTTACTAAAGATACAAGAACAAGTATTGAATCCAATCCTTTTACATCTGTTGCACTGAACATAGTCAGATAGGCTGGAACTTAAATGAGACCCCTGAGTTACTGGGCAATCCAGTATCCAACTGAAGCTAACCAAACAGGTCCTTGGGTCTGAAGCCAGAATCTCTAGGTCTTCTGCTTGAGGTGACATTCTTGGAGAAAGATAAGAGAAGCCAGTTCAGCAAAAGAAGGGAAAATTCTTCTTTTTTTTAAACAGTTGTTTACTTGTCTCTTTCTGTTACATGCTGATAATGATGATGATATTTGATGTTCTTGCCAAGAATAATAGCTTTGATACAATAGCTATGATCTTTCAATTCTTATATATAATTAAAAAACCAAACCAAAAAACCCACACAACTTTCAAGAATACCAAGTAGGACTCAGGAAAATGAATGAATCAATACATATTCATGCGATTTGGACAAAGTAGTGTGTATTGTGCCATAAAATCACTATTCTTTAGAGGTGATAGCCAGTGTTTGACTTTTTTTGTCCCTGTGATTTAGCATGCTGGTATCTCCTGTTTGGGACTAGTGAGTAGTCAGATGAATGTAATCACCTTTAAAACAACCTTCCACATAGGAGTAGCCAGAGTTACTGTGGGTCAGACCTGGTGACATCTGAGTTGGGAAAGGTTGCACTGTACTTGCCAGCAAAATATGTGATGTATGAATGATACCGTAGATAGGGTCCCTTGAGGAATAATTGTTATATGAATAGAATTTTTCTGAGATAAGTGAGATTATTGAATTTGGGATGGTTTTCCTGAAATTCCTGGTTTGTAAAAATTACAATTAATGTTTTCCTGTCAGATCAGACCCTGCATAGTTTGTAGGCTGTAGGTGGAACTCTATCTGATTAATGTTTTGTGGATTTTGTTTGTTTTTTTGTTTTAAATTAGATCCTTCCCTTCCAAAGCCAAATGTGAGACAGCCACGTAAGTAACTCTTAAACCAATCCCTTTAAAGTTTTAAATATTTGTCTATAAAGCATTAGATAAATTAAAATTATCTTCAAGTTTTGTGAGTGTGTATGTGTATAATTCTGAAACAGAACATAATTCTGACTCAGTTGCTGATTGAGAGGTTCCCATCAGCATTTAGAGAGAATGGCTGTGACTTTTGATGTATGTGATAATCAAATTTGGGAAAACACCGTTGAGAGTCTCAGCCTTAGCAAGTTCATTTGCTATGTGTGCATTATTTCCCCCTTCTCTGATGAGGCCACTGCTTCCCAATACCCGTGTTTGAGCAGCAAAGATCCTACAGAGCTTCTGTGTCCTAAATATGTCCTATTCCAAGCCTCACTCATATCCTGTGCTGCAGCTGGCCACATCCCCAGTTACTCTGGCACCAGCACATACGTGCTGCAGATGAGATCACTGACTTGATATGGATTAATTTCTTTGGTTTTTCTGTTGTCTTGGTGTAGTGAATTAATCAGGGTCTATTAATGACCCAGAAAAGGAGCAGCACTGGAAGGCAATAATAAGCAGGAAGGTACAGATGATTTGCAGCCAAAAGCAAGAATGAATGGAGAAAAGGGAATTTAGAAGAGGAAGTGCAAAGAAGGTTTTTTCCTCTGTTCCTGCCTTCAAGACTAAATTTGCTCAAAATAACAAGGGCAATGAGAAATTATGCTTCTGCCACTTCTCCATGGGACTTTCTTCTCTCCACTAAGTTTCCTCCTAAGAGGAGAGGACACTGGCTGGTGCCTGGTGGAAAAAACAGTTGTGTTTAGGAGAATTTTTTCTGTTTGCATTTAAAATGACTGAAAGTATCCAGAGAAACCAGAAATAGCCTCATGGAAGAAATGAGAGAAGAAACTTCTAAGCCATTATATGTCAGGTGTTGCATATGCAAACTAGGTCACAGGTACCCAGAAATGGGTCCTGAAGGCCCTTGCCAACAGGAACTGCTGGAGAAAACATTTGTCAAAAGAGGATAGGAGATGTCCTTAGGGACATCTGCTGGGTGCAGGATTGTGTAAAGTGAGGGTGTTGGTTGTATTCTGGGAACTGAAAATTCCACTAAAGGATAATACTGAGATCCAGTCAGCTCATTTCCTGGCCCGAGTAGTCAGTAAAATTCACTGTCCTAAGCCATTTTGTGCACTGGGAGACATTAAAAGTACTAAAACTAAAAATCAGTTTTGTAAGAAGAAATTTTCCCAAATGATTGCTGAAAGAGTAATTATTATTTTTTTAAGTATTTCTAATTACCAAAAACAAAACCACAGAAGCCAAAAGTTTTTCTATTTGGATGGTCAGCATTAGGGGGCAACAGATCCAGGGGCCAGATGTTGTTACCCTTGAAATGGTCCTACAAAAGGGCCTCTCCCCTAGAAAGTGATTTGCATGTGTGTGTGTTTCTATTTTTGTGTTCTGGAATTAATTTTAGTTATTGAAAGCGTTGCCAAATGTGAAAAACAATTGCTTCTATTTATGTTTTTGCTGACTTTTTGCTGGCATCTCTTCCCTCTTAACAGCAGTTCCGTTCTCCACCTAGATTTCAGACTGAACTTGCAGGAGATGTAGGGGAAAGCTTGCTTAGGCCATTTAAGTGAAAAGCATCTTCTGCCAAAAATATCAGCCTTTTTAAAACACTTTTAAGATAAATGAATATTTAATTGAAAGCAAGTTATTAACAGCCAACTGAAAATGCTTAATTTTTGCAACGCTTTCCAGATTGGGGTGTGCTGAGCTGGGGTTTTGCTTTGTGATGTGGAACAGTTAGTTGACCTGAAGCCACTCTCTGAAAGCTTCCCTTTTATTTCCTTGACGCGAATTTGCTAGTCTGTTCCTTAAAATGGTGCTTAATTAACTATGAATTTTTAAAAAACTCTCCCCTGAAAGTGTAAGGGTGTATTTTTGTAAAACGGCATCTGCCACTGATAATGAAAAGTCCTTGTGTTGTGTGTGTTTGCCTTTAGCTGTGTTCTACGGGCTGGACACGCTGACTGTGGTGGGCATTGCCTTTGCAGCCTTTGTGATCGGGGCCCTGCTGACGGGAGCGCTCTGGTTCATCTACTCTCGCACAGGTGAGTGCGGGGCTCTCACAGAGCTCAGTGCAGGTCATGCAGCAGGAAACGTGGTGTGGTCTGAAGGGGAAGGGAGCCAGCAATGGCTGTCCTGGGCTTTTTTATTTTTTGCCCTCTCCTCTTAACTAGGGAGTTTTCCAGCAGCTCCTCCCATGAACCTGTATTGTGTATCAGCCAATTGATACCCGCCCTTCCCTACAGGGAAATGTTACACATTATGATTTAAAATTTGCTAAAATAATTTTAAATGTGAATCTTGAAAACTCACATGGGACACAAGTAAAACTCTGAGTATTCACGGTTTGTGCATTATCATTAGTAGCATCTCTGTATTTGAAATTTACTTAACATTTCAGTTAATGGATCCTTTTTGGTTCCCGTACTGCTTTTTAAAAATTTTTTTGCAGTTACTTCATTAGGCCGATGCGTACAAGGAGTGGGCCAAATGGTTAAGCGAATGCCTTATTTACATAGACATACTCTGAATATAACTAGACTTGAAAATTTTTCTTGGGCCTTGATTGCCTGAAATTTTTACCACAATTATTTATTCCTCCATTCTTCAACTATTACATTCAATTGGTAGAAGTCACATGTAATCTTAATTGTGCCCAAACAAATAATCAGGAATGTGCCTGAATTTGGTGCAGCCTTTATGCATAGATAATTTCCCAGTATCTCCTCAGAATTTTTTCCCATACTAAACTAAGTTTGCAGAAATAGAATGCTCTATTGGAAGAAGAGGGAGTTTTGGGAGCTTTCTGTTGCATGTCATCTGCAAGGTGGTACAAAGACTGGACACTGATGGAGCCAGCATGATTTCCAGCACGTGGCCTTGGCTGCTTGTGGATTGTGGGGTATCTCAGGATTCCTAGAGCATGCTCTACTCCCAGCTACTTCTACTTTTAACTTCATAAGACCCTACCAAGACCTTTAGGAGGAGGGGAAAATGAGAAATCAATTACTCCAAACCTGTGCAGCTCTGGAGCAGTGGAATTTGCCTGTAGCCCACTACAGTGTGTTGGCTTTTTTGGCATCCAAAACCTCATGGAAGCTATTTAGGAGTGAGAGTCTGGCCCTGTTGGGTCAGAGCTCCTGTAAATATTATGACCCAGGAGCTTAAGTTAATTTGGAAAAAAAAAAACCTGTGGGCTTTTTTCCAGTTGGCAGTACAACAATTTTATATAAGCAGTTTAATGCTTCTCAGTGCATCAGCTGTGTATGAAACTTGTTTGGAATTGGGGCAAATGTGGAAAATTTAAAGTTTGTGATAATACGTATAAATTGTATAATCCTGTCTTGTATACTACTGAAACATTGTGGAAGAAAAGTAAACATAATTTCAGTGAGTAAATATATAAGTTAAGAAGGTAATTTCCACAGGTAACCTTTATTAACAAAAAAAAATTAAAACAACTCTTAAATTAATATATTTGATCCTGCGTTTGTGGAAGTTCGATCTCTGTTCATGTACAGAGCCATCTATAGACACAAGTTGTGTGTCTGTAGTCAAGGAACACTGGGAATCCAACATGAGAAATCTTTCAGCAACAATAGAACTTGGACCAATCCCATTAAAAGAGTTATATTAGCAAAGTATGTCAGTCATAGTGACCACATACAGAGAGGGCAGCTGCTCTGGCTTTGTGTTTGAGAGATGAAAAAAGTGGAGAAAAAGGCCAGAAATAAAGTAATAAATGAAAATAGAAGAAAGGACAGGGACACTGTAACGCATCAGATTAGAGAATCACAGAAATTATAAAAATTATCCAGGAAATTATCTGGTTCAGATTTTCAAAGAATTGTGAAAGTGAACCTATGTTCCTGTGCACATAATTTTTGTGCACATAGTATCTTGTATCTGCAAAGCACAACTTGCAACACAGTGCAGCCAAGGCTCTGGCAGGGACAGTCTCTTAAGAGGGCAACTGCTGTGGCAGACAAGATAATCCAGCTGCAGTGGAAACATTTTAGAACTGGCTGCAGACTTATATTAACACAAGGAGGGGGAAAAAAGATAATCTAAATTTCATCTACAGAGTGGCTGTCTTTTGCCATTAGAGAATTTAGGCATTGCTGAATCTCTCTGATATCTCATCTTTTGTTGCAAGTAGTACTGGGTTTCTAACACATGATTCAGACCAAAGGTTGGAAAATATGAGTTCATTCTAGAACTGTATGTTGCTGATACTCAGAGCACAGATAAAAGCTACTGCTGGTAGAGAATGGCAACTTGGGATGTGTGAAGTAAGGTGTTTTTATTGCTGTAGTGCTGTATGCAATGCAGCAAAAGGCCACCTTTTTGCCTGTAAGCAGGTTTACCAATACACTTTTATCAGTATGTCTCTGCTGGTAACAGAGTGTTACATGAATGAGCTCTTTTGTTCTCTTGGTGGGCCATTAACGTTAAAACCTCAAAGAGATAGCAGAAGGGAACTCCAAAACAGGTAGAAGTTAATCTCCAGATGTTGAGCAAGGATTGTTGTGTGGAGTTTTTTCATGTAGGTCTTTTGCTGAGTTCAGTCATGAAAAATTTCTGCTAAAGCATCAAAACTGTGCTTCAGAATACACTAGATTTTCTGAAACAATTCAGCGTGGAGTACAAGTGTTCTAAGATACATGGGTAGTAAGGAGAGAGAGAGAAAGCTAATATTGGAACAGCAGAGGAGGAATTTTAGCTGACTTTTCTGCAAAAGGACTCTGTACTTTTGATCCTTCTTTTAGTCAGTTAAAAGACGAGAAAGGTGTTGGTCCTGCCTGGAGAAGACCCAAGGACAAATGGAAATAGCAAGGATTTGCCACAATTAATCCCATTTATCTGAGGATGTTATGTAGGAGCAAAAATGTTGCGGTGTGCATGGATGCAGAAACCCTTCAAAATTTAATCATATAAATATGTATCAATGTAATAACTGCCTTAATAGGGATAATTGAGTATTTTTAGGAAGGGACATGCACAAGTCTGATTAGTTAATGAGAGCGTTAAACCTTGTAAACTGTGTTAGAGAACATCTGTCCCTGTGTTCTCTTAGGAAGCACACTTTCCTCCTTCAGGCAGTGTTGCAAGTTGAGAGGATAAACTGTTCCAAAATCCAAGAAGTTAAAAACGTCCCTCCTCCCCCACTTCTCCCTTTTTTTATGGGATCTGATTTAAAGTAAACTGACATAGCAACCAATTATATTTGGCAAATGGAGATAGAAAAGCAAACATTCAGACTTCCTGGACAGGGAGTACAACTGGCAGCTTTCCTAAGTGTGAATAATAAAGTGCGTGTTGTTGCATTCAGATGGGTAAAAGCTTGTTTACTGTCAATAGATGAAACATGTCCATTCTGAGCAGTTCTGGTTCGGTAACATGAGATACGTGAAGCTGTTTACATGAAAAAGACAGATGGAGAATGCCTCTGTGGTGATAGTTTACATTTCTTTACATCCTTTTCTTGAATATTCCCTTAAAGAAAGCTTTTCTACGGTTAGCTAGGTGTTGAGGAAATAAAATACAGGAAAAATCATCCAGTCCAGATGTAGTTGCTAGGCTGTGTTCGTAACATCACTGTGATTTGGATTTTTTCTTTTCCTTGAGGACACTGAGAATTTGTTATTGTTCAACAAGTGATTGTGATATACTGTGGTATATCAGAGCTGCTGATTGCGCTGTAGAAATGAGGTCCTGTGCAGGCCATTGAATTATAGTGGAAGGAAGGAGTCTTCCAACCCAAACAGAAGGGAAGGTGCCTCCTAGGACACTTTCCAGAGGAGGCGGGAGGGGAGAGCGAGCCATTGGGCTTGTACAGGGACTCTGGCATTGTGCTTTCGCTTTGCCGTAAAATGAAAACAACATGTGTTTAGCTTATAAATGAATTTATGGTTAAATGCGTACAGATCGTGTTGATGTGCTGGGGCTGACCAACGCTGTGTGTAACCATGTGGTTTGTAAAATGGGTGGCAGCAGAGCTGTGGGGAGAGAGGCGGGGGCCAGGGGCCCTGCCGGGGGAGCGCAGCGGCCGCCCTTCCTCTGCACCGCCCGAGAGGCTTCTCCTGCGGCTGGGGATGGGGGTTTGCCACCTCCCCTCGCTGCTTTCTGATGTTTGTGTTCCCTTGTTTTGTTTTAATGAAAGGGAGTTTGCTTGTCACTGCCTTTATAAATATATCCTGTAGTACAAAAGGAAGGAAGGCTTGTACACAAACAACTGAAGAAGGGAGCAAGTCAGGAGGGGAAGAAACATCCAAACAAGGCTTATGAAAGCTTTTACAGCACGATGACACAGACTTTGATTTTATACAGTTTATTCTGATTGGTTGCAAAGCCATTTCCAAAGCAAGTTAGAGCTGAAACTTGATTTATTTGCAGATGACTGAGGGCAGATTCTGACCTGCTGCCTTTGAGCAGAAATTCACTGCTCGTGGATGAGCTGCATAGTTATTTGTTACATTGGGAAAAAGAGAATCAAACTCTGCTCACAAGAGTAAATGTTAGACTGAATGCTGAATTTAAAAGCAAGATCCTCACCCTCTTTTTAAAAGTTTTATTGGGCTCCTAGGCCATGTGGTTTAGTAGTTTAGTTTGTTATTTTTTCTGTCCTGTCCCATCCCATCCCATCCCTTCTTTCCTCCCCATTCCTAAACCAGTGGGGTGTAAGGCAAGAGCTGTGCATTGTGGGGCCTTATGTGCACTTCAGCTGTGGCTGTGGCTTCAGCTTGCAGCAAACCTGCTGGTTTCCATTACGCAGAGCACTTGCAACCTCTGCTGTGAGAAATCCTTAGACCTCCCTTGTTTGTAGCAGACCTCGGAATACTGAGCAGCCTGCAGAAGGATATTTTGTGGCCTGAGCCACAAAGCGTTAAAGGCACACTTCCTCTGCAGCCTCATTCCGAGGAGCTTGAGCTCTGGCAGCTGGGCAGCAGCACACAGGGCAGGGGGATGTGCCAGAGCAGCTCCTGTGGGAGGAAGCTGTCTCGTCCCTGCACTGTAACCCTCTGGATGCAGGCTGTGCCTCCAGCCTTCAACCTGTCGCTGAAGCAATCACTGGGGAACAAGATCTCCAACAAATCCTGAACGTGGAAGAAAAACTGGGCTCTGCAGACCTGACCTGTGGCTTCAGGTTTTGGATAACACAGGATAATGTGAAGCAGGAGAGCTGCGTCACTACAAACTCATGGAGCAGGAGATGAGGCCTTTGATTTTTCCTAGTTGCTCCTACCCATGATCCAGCAAAACATTTCCGTCTTGCTTTTTTACTGGGAAAGCAGCTGTGCTGTTTCTGACTGCCACAGGTGGTCTGCAGCTCAAGCAGCAGCAGTCTGACTGTGTTACCGTGCTGAGATCACAGGTTCACATCCTGAGAGATGAGCTCAAGGGAGGGGGCAGCTACAGTGCACATTATATAAACTTAAGTCTTGCCATCTGTTTTGAAGAGATGATTTTGTAATATTGTACAGATTTGAGCACTGTAGCTTAAAAAATGCCACAGTTATGGTTTCCTACGTGGTCTCATTATGATCTTTTGGGCATTGACATAATGGCACAATTTTTACTTTCATACTTAGTTGAGAGCTGAATTTTTCCCATGGAATCCCAGGCACAGGTGCAGAAGATGTATGAGGAGAGCAGACAGAAACCTAGGTTTTATCAGGAGCCATAAATCAGGCTTTAAATCCTAGTGCTTGTTTTGGCAATCGAAATAACGAAGGGCTTTTAATTTATTGTCAGTAAACAATTGACAAGAAATAGGGAGACATGTTCTCACTACAGATTTTAAGTGCTTCACATACTGTGGTAGCTATGGGGGAACTTCCTGCATTTTGTGTTAGGAGTAAATCAAGTCAAGCTTTAAGCATGTTCTTTTTCTGCATGAAGAAAACTGGCCATGTCTCAGGATATGTGGTATCCAGCTGATTGAAGGACTCTATCTTCAGCTCCCCTTTTAGTAAATATGCTGCTCTATAAACTGGCATTAAAACTAAAGCCTGCATTTCAGAGGCCTTTTTCCTGCAGATAGCAAAACTATAAAGTGGTCTGTAACAGGACCCATTGAGTGACAGGTGACAGTAGAAGGTAGACAGTGTCTATCTTGGCAGTTTCCATCAGCTGCTTTTAAAGTGCAAAACAGCACTATTGTTTTCCCCACATGCATAGCAATGTTAAGATGCCAAAGTCTAGTAGCATTTTCAACAATACTCTGTTTAAGGTCTGTCCCTCAATGTATTTATTGCATGGAAATACAGACCACCAAAAGAGGAAGACTGGGAAGGAGTGAATTGCTGTTTTCTACGATATTTAACATTTTCAATTTCCCTTTTCTTGACCCCACCTTTTCTCTTCCCTTTCCTTCAGGGGAAACAACAGGAAGACAGCAGGTCCCTACATCCCCGCCAGCGTCCGAGAACAGCAGTGCAGCTCACAGCATCGGCAGCACACAGAGCACCCCCTGCTCCAGCAGCAGTGCCACCTAACCCGGGGGGGACACAGCTGAGGAGCAACATAGGAGCACATGGGTTCCAAGGACTGTGTGTGGACATCAGCTTTTTAAAGTTAAAAGGGTTGTTTTGGTTGCTTCTGAAAAAAATGAGGAGGAATTTTTCTACAGGAGAAAAAAAAGACTGATTTTCATTTGGGGAAGCCACTGTGTGTGTGAGTGTGTATATGAGCACACAATGCATGAGTGAACACAGCCTGTTGGATCTTGTTAGCATGTTATGCTACATGTGACAAAGCTACTAATTTTACAGTACTGCAACCTGTTCTGGGGGTTTGTGGGCCCCTCAATGTGAAGTCTATGCCAGTTTGGAAAAATGCTGCTTTGTCTATACAATTTTTTTCTTTCCCTGAACCTTCTCATTGACAGAAAGTATTCATTAAGGGAATTCAATCATAGAATCATAGAATGGTTTGGGTTGGAAGAGACCTTAAAGATCATCTAGCTAGACCCCCTGCCATGGGCAGGGATACCTTCCACTAGACCAGGTTGCTCAGGTGGTGTCCAGTGTGGCTTTGAAAACACTTCCAGGGATGGGACATCCACAGCTTCTCTGGGCAGCCTGTTCAGTGCCTTACCACCCTCACAGAGAAGAGTTTTTTTCTAATATCCAATCTAAACCTGCCCTCTTTCAGTTTAAAGCCATTACCCCTTCTCCTGTCACTACACAAGATATGGAGAACAAAGATGACCTTAGGTCAAAGGATTTCTGTTTGTCTAAGCAAGAAAGCTTCAAGGTCAAATCTCTTTGGTTAATAACATTTTATTATTTCAGCTACATTTAGCCACTTTTGAGTAATCTTTGTTTTGTTCAGCTTACAGCTACAGCATCTCATTTGCTTTCCTGTTGTGTTTGTAGGTTCAAGTTTGTTCCAGGGATTTTTGTTGTAATATGCATTGATTTGCTAATTGGAAAAGAGCACACTAACATTCCCTCTCTTGTTTTTTGGGCCAAAGCTCTTTAATAAGAGATTTTTTTTTTAATCTACTATACCAAATATAGGCACACACAAATATTAAGACAAAGAATGGTCTTGTGCACTAACATAGATGTGTGTGTATCTTTAATGATAATGTCTTTATGCAAGTAGATGTATACCTAGGTATACAGAGCCTAACTTACCACTTTAACAATTGGAAATTAGCTTCAGTGTCCCTTTCACACATAAAATATATAATGTTTATATATATATATAAATAAAAAACTGTCTCTTTGGTTTATAGAAGATAGAGGAGATAAAGAAGTTGATTTGGTTCTAATCCTTCAGCTAGCCCTTTGAAATAAGAGATGGGTTTGAGAGCACAAAGAATATACAGTAGAACGTGTTGTTTGTGCAGAATACTGCCTATCGAAATTGTTCTCTGAAGATAGTTGTGCAGTTGTTTGTATCAAACTGTTGTATGAACATTGCAGTTGGATAGTCCCAAAGTAGTATCAGAGTATGGAAATGGCAGAAAGGTACTAATTGTCACAGTATATTTCAGTGTTGTTGCCTTATCTTGAGCTTCAAATTGATGCCAAATGAAAAAAAAAGACACTTTTAATGTGTAGTTGTTTGACTGTTGGTTGCCACTTTGTAATTGTAATGTGTTCTACTGATTCTTCTCCTTTGAGGAAAAGAGAGATTGTTTTCCTCTAAAAATGAGATGAATAACTTTCATTAATTTTAGTGAAAGTTACCTGTGTTCTGCAAGAGAGGAAGGGAGTTCATTACACTCGAGCGATAGTCTGCTCTGAAGTTTGAGCTGCCAGTCTCTTGCTGATTCTACACTTGTGCCTTGCTGATGCCAGGATGGTTGAAGTGCGAGATAAGTGATAGACCTAAGTGCCCAGGATAAGGTAGAATGTTGCTCACTTTAAATCAAATCTGTTACTAATCCTGCAAACACTTACACATGTGAGTAACTGCATGCCTCATCCTTGCTATTAGAAGCACATGCTGGACTCTACACACCACAGCTGGTTTCAGTGTCCATGCAGGCAGTTGGTGCACAGAGTTAAACATACAAAAATATTTTATGTTAGCAGGCCAGTGAGTAGTCCTGGTCACATGGACAGATTGTCACGTGGGTGTAGTTCTCCCATGTGTGAGGGTTTGCAGGATTGGCTCTGTTACGAGGTGTCGGGAGGATGAATGTGCTGCCTGTGTGGTTGAAAAGAAAGCGCTTTGCCTAACCTTCAGCAGAATGTATTGTATAAGCATATTCTATGTGTAAAGTCTTTAAAGATGTCTTCAAAGAAGACTAGAGTCTTTAAGTTCAATCATAGCTATATTTTACTACATTAAATTTCTGTATAAAGATATATTTAAATGTTTTAGATAAATGTAAGTTACTCTATATGAAATGTTTAATTTCAATTACTGTGAAATTTACATATTTTGTAAATTCTTTTCCCCTGTTTTAACCCTTTCCTTCCTCAGATATTTTATTAAGCAGTTTCTGATAGGAAGTATTAGATTTGGTTGTTGGGACGGATAGGTTGAAAACTTCTCTGTAAAACAGATAATTATATATTTTTGAGAGAAACATGCTGCATTATCAATCTCTTTAAAACTGTAAATTTAAAATAATTTACAGATTTATATTTACCATTGGATAAACCAAAAATATATAAAGGTCAAAGATTTGATTTGGTGACTTGTGTATGAAATACAGTTTAAATTAACTGAAATTGGTGTACTCAGCTATTTAGTTCAGAAATTTTAATCCACTTGAATTAATTGTCTATTGGAGGTTACTAAAATGATTACTTAGCAGATGGAACAGCCATTTCTGCTTCAATAAAGAGAGAGGCAACCAAACCTGGGCATTCCCAGTTAATAGCTTTACTACAAAAATGTATAGTACTTTCCAGCAGCTGGTAAGCTGCCCTCAGTTCAGATCACTGATACACTTATAAACTTTGTTTTTATAGCAGCCATTTGTCTCTGCTGCAAGTCTCTGTGTGTGGTGTGGCAAGGTCCCAAATGTGTAACTGCTCAGCCACTGATTCCCCCCTCTGTCCAACGTGGTCTTGCCATGCTGAACTCACATGGCAGATCCCCGTGGGGTGTGGAAGGCCAGTGAGACGCTGCCGTCCCAGCAGAGGTGGTACAGCAGAGTTTCGGAGGGGTGGAGTCAAGGGGTTAATTTCAGCATGGTGGAATCAAGTGCAAAGGAACTTTTTGTGTAAGAATGGGAGGATTGGGCTTAAAAAGGGACACCTTCTGCCTGTAAAAGCTATTAGTAACGTACTTAAACTCCACAATAGACTGCTTCTTCTGTCATGTGTTGTCTAATCACTAACTCTAACCTTTTACAGCATTTGGTTTTGGACATTACTATATTCATGTCTCAAGAGGTCAGATCTTTCTGTGTTAGGCTATTTCTGTAGCATATTCCACATGGAAATGGATTTTGCAAAATTCTGTAAATGCTGATGATTGTAACCTTCCCCCTGCCCCTTTCTAACCCTTCCTCTCCTGTTTGTTCTTTCTGTTATGTATATCTACCTCATGCTTCACAAGAAGACTAGACTGTTGGTTGTGCTGATAGCCCTTCATGTGAGGTGACTGTTTGCCACGTTGTTTGTCATTCATAGGGATGTTCACAGTGTTATCAGATCTTTGCTGCCATGTTCCTACCGGTTCCAAACACAATAGTCTCACCTTTGAATAAATAAGTGTATTTCTTTAAGATGCAAATGCCAGATGCTTTTTTAAATCCAAGAATGGGAGAAATTTACTTGCTAATACCTGTGGCCAGTCTGAACACCCATTTGTATTTCATATTACATTCAGTATTTCAGAGACTTGTGGAAATGCATAGTTGTACAGTTTTGATAACCACAGTGTCATGTCATCTTAGTCTCTTGTGCATAATAAAGTATATCAATTTATTAATAATTGATGCTGTGATTCATTTATTTGAAACCAACATCAGTAGATCAAGTTTTGTCTCACTGCCCTGTTCTCATGTCCGATAAACTTCAGTGGGAATTGTGTGCATTAAAGGTAGAATTTGATTCTGTGTGTCCACCTCTGTTTTCACCTTTCTGTGTTATTTTATCCATTGGCTTTGATTGACTTCTCAATATCACGGCTTCTTGCAGAAACCAGTAGTTATATTTAGTTAATGCTGCTGTTCTTCACTCTAATTTGAAGTCCAGAGCTCTGATCCACTGGGCATTTAGTTGTTGCATGTCAAGACACAACCTCAGTCCACTCCTACACAAAACCTGGCTTGAGCACAGTCAAGCCCAGGGGTCTGCAGCAGCAAAGTGCCCTTGGGTTGTACCCGTGACCGCAGGTACACTGGAGACACATGAGCAAGTCTGTGTTTTAATTAGTTAAGGGTCTTCCCCTGCTGGAGCAGATAGTTGGCTGCATATCAGCAGGACAAGGATTTAGGTGTTTACTATCCTGCTTATTGCATTGCTTTCTGTATTTCATGTGCAAACTGTTCTTCATGGGCACTCGAGGGGAACCAGCCTCAGTGGTATTTCCCTGGGTTATTCAAAGGTTGTGGTTACTGACTCACAAAAGAGAGTTCCTTAAGAAGGGAATCTAAAATGTTTAATGATCACTCTTAAAAATCAAGATTCCTTCAATACAGAAAAGGCCATTAATTAGAAGCAGTTCTAAACTACATGTTGCCTATGATTTACAATTCACAGAGCTGCAGTAGATTTTTTGCTTCATAACAACCATATTTCAGTTTCTGCATTAAGACAGTTTTTTTTTCCTGTGGAAATGAGCTCCATAGAGCTGACTCACAGCCTAAAGATGCTGGAGCTGCTGTTCACCTTTGCCTGTAAGATTTGTATTTTGACAGAAACATGGTGGGAAAGCATGATCAGTGTCTCATATGAGGAATTAATTTTAAAATGTAATTATTAGACAACAAATTGTGATGCATTTGCATGAGTATTTTTAGACATTAAGAAGTAAGACTATTGCCATATTGCAGAATAAGTGTCAATGTTGTGGCTGTTTGTTCTGTCAAGCACTATGAGTGAAGCAAACGTTTTGCAAAGTCAAAAAATACCAAGTGCCAGTTTCAGAAAAAACACAGTCCAGAGCTCTTCTAATTTAAACAGAATTAAATTTATCACAGTGTTCCTTCCAAGACTTATAAAAGGAAAAGGAGACAATATTTTGATAAATTTTCACAGCTGTCACTTTGTAATTGTAAAGTAGATATTTATGAGGCTGGAACTCTGTTTGCAGCGTATGTTTTTGTACAGTGTTCCCAAATCTCAGGCTCTAGATGTGGCCTTGCCAATCTCTGTGCATTTACACTTTGCGTAAGAAAGATCAAATTACATCTCTTCACCTGCTTGAAGAAGGTTATGACTCAAATTACACATCTATAGTCCCTGATTTGCTGGAAGCCTTCAGGGTCTCACTGCAGCTTGTCCAGAAGGTGATGCACACTGAGCTGTCTCCCGGCTGTGCAGCCAGTCTTGCCTGTCTGGCCTGCACTGCTGAGCTGCAGGTTTACTGTGTTTAGGAAAAATCTAAAAAGGAGTTGGTTTATGGATAGCTGAGGACGAAGAGCAGCACAAAAGTGTTACTCCTGCACTCTTGTTTAAATGACAGATTTTTTT